CCTGCTCGCGCAGTTTAACACCTCAGCTGGCTGTGTGTGTGTATGTGTGTGGTAGAGGCTGCTCTGTGTCAGATCAACCTTTATCTGGCTTATAAATCACTGTTATCACATACTGTACATCTGGCCAATGACCACATACATGCACATGCATACTAAGAGTTTAGCGGCTTTCGTCTATCCAGCTGTGTCAGAGTTCTGCAGCATTAATGATTGGACAGAAACAGTGATTCACTCCAGTGCTCCATTGCAGCACCTCGGTGATTTGTGTGTGAGTGGAAAATGTGAGTCTAAAGACAATAATACAGCATGCATCCACTTGCACACTACTGTCTCACAAGGTCACATGCACTCTGCTAATCCTTCCCACCTAACATTATTCAACATGCCGCTAATACTGTATTAGCTTGCAGTCAGTCAAGGAGTTGTACCTTAAGGCTTTCTGTGCTCTAAAGAATCCATGTCATTACACTGCTGTGTTTAATATGTTCATGGGTAAGCCCTTTGCTATGTATTTGTAAATGAATGCCCACAAACAACACCTTTCTCTATTCTTTGTTTCCTCTGACTAGTCTCATTGACAGACGGGGCTTTATCCAATCAGACGCACCACAGCTGGCACCACCAACCAATGGCATCACTATGTATGGCGCCACTCAGTCTCAGCAGAGCCACATGGTAAGACACTGACCTGAATCTCTGTGGTTGCTCTGAGATACTACATTCAGGTTGATAACTTTATAGATGTGAAAATGCAGACTGCGTCGTCAGAAGTGGTCTGTTGATGTTCGTAGTGTTGTTGGGTTGGCAGGTCACTTGATGGATGAAGTTTTTAGAGTAGAATAGTCATTGAATAAAGGGACTGGATGGGGCTCCTCCTAATATCAGAAGCTTACCGGTGTTGCTACACAACCATCATTTAATATAGTTGCAATCCTGAAGATTTTAGCAGGTTGATTTGGCTAACAATATGCAAACATCATATTGTGATTATGTCGATTTTAAGTGGGAATGGTAATTTTGCTTTTCATTTTCACTGAAAAAATAAATAAAAATAAAATGTTTTGGCCCAGTCTCACCAGGTCATACTCTGCTACTACATCTGCAGGGCTAGGCCAAAGCATCTTTCACAGCAGTCTGTGTGTGAAACTCCAGCTGTTGCCTTTTGTTCATTTGCCAGAAACAGAAATTGACTCTCACAAACACCGGCAGATGAACTTAGCCCCATGTCACCTTGAAGAATTCCAACCACAGACATTGTGGCAGATTGTTTCTGATTTTAATGGTAAACATTTTAAGGGCTGGTCTAGGCAGAGACAGTAAAAGGTAGATGAGGTCAAAGAGTTTCAAACACCAGTCAGAACACTGTATGTAAGATTAAGGTTCTCCTCATCATGCTGATATTCAAGTCTTGCAGTGGGCCCAAAAAACAATGAGCAGGAATCAGAAAGAGATAATATATAATGAATTAGACCATTTTGTGCAAATTCACAATCTCGCAAACTGGAAAGTACGCCACAGTCAGTGACCACTATCTGCTGTAATGTTAAACTGTCTCCCACAGTCTTGGAGAGAATAGCCGGTGCCGTGAAGAACACACTGCACTGACCTCACTGGCCACTTTCCCTCTGGTGCCTGAATAGAAGCAACAAGTCTTCTGTTGTTCAGTGTCACTGTTAACGTTGCACATTACATGCTAGATTTAAGGCCTATTCAGACACAGCTACTAAACTCCTCTCACTGGTGCCCTTGCTCTGTGCCACAGACATCTCGTTGTTCTCATCCAAACTCAACCTCACTCCGTTAGTTCTCATTGAGATGTCGAAAATGAACGTCATTGTAGCGTTCACAGTCAGCTGTGTACCTAATATCTTGTACCTTTTGTTTGCCTTAAAAATCCAATATGGGATGGACCACTTATTTCAAGTCCACGTTAAGAATATTGTGTCATCAAGTAGGTTTTAGAGAGACTTGTGGTTTGATTTAGTTAAATCGTTCAAACTGCGATGAGTAAAAGTCTCCCATCACTTCTCTCCATCGTCTGTTTACTACAGAGGTGTGTGGGTGGGAGTTATTTAGAGAAAGGGTGTGAATGTACATGAATTGTGCACGCGTGCGTGTGTGTGAGAGATAGAGGAGGCAAAGAGACAGCAGACTGCTTGATTCATGTTTTGTCAATTTAAATTTTGTCAGTACTGTTATTTTACCCTTTTAATGTAAGGCTACATTGACTGTGTGGAAAATACAGTACGTAAGTTACTCTCTAAGCAAATAAAAAATTATGAATGTGTTCTTAAACGTATTTGATTATCAAGACCAACTAGTCCACAACTCATTTAGTCCCTGTTCTGTTTTAGCTGAAGGTGAAAAAGAAAGGGCTTTTTTTTCCTGCAAATCTGTCATTTAAGGGAAACTTGGTGTAGAGACACGTAGGACCGAGTAAACGCAGCACACATTTGTATCAACAGTTGTGTGGTTGATTTGTTCCTGTCACAGCTGCGTTTCTGTAAGTCCTATGCTGGCAAACGCATTGAGGTTGCATTTGCTTTTGGGCGATGAAAGCCCCATTTCTTTGTGATGTACCTTATTTAATCTGTGATGCAGCTCAAAACGATGGCCTGGTATGTTAGAAGCCTTGTAAGCAGTTGCCATGGCAACAGTGTGTGGTAGGATGTCCTGTTACACCTCGATAACCTGAAACCTCAATTTGGGGGGTGGGGGGAGGGGAGGCAATTTGATTGATAGCAGTAAGCATTGCATTCGATTAAAGGTCTGTTGATCAAAATTACAGTAAAATAATAAATAAAATGTCAAGACATTCTCTGGTTTCAGCTTCTCAAATGTGAGAATTTGTAGCTTTTCTCTGGTTTATATTGTTGTAAATTGTATATTTAGATTTTAAACTGTCGGTTGGATGCTGATCGGAAGCAATTTGAATCATGACATCCTTGGGTTCTGGGAATAATAAATTTTTCAATCATTTCTGATATTTTTATATATTTTTAGCCAAAATGTTAATAAAAATAAAAACATAATTGACAGATTAATGCCCCATTTTCAGATATGTTTCTGAGATTTTGTCTCTACCCGAATGTAATAAAGGTGAAAGGAATTAGAAGTCGCTGTAACACATAAAACCAACAATATCTGTCATCATCATTTTGGTTAAGCCTGTCCTTTAACCTCATGGTACACAGTTTGCATTTGACCATGCAAATATGACTATTTTTGGTCTTCTTTCTTCCTGCCTGTCCTTCTTGCTCTGTCTCTGTCTTCTTCCTTCTGTGAGCTATTTTTATACAACACACGCAGAGTGCAACTTGATCAACCACCATTTCCTTGTATGTAATTGCACCGCGCGTGATGAGGGGAGTGACAACCCACAGCCTTGTTTTCAGTTTCACCACTCACTCTTACTTCAGTCAGCTGCATGAGTAATTGGTGTTAACAGTCACAGAAAATGCCCAACTTTGTTTCTTTGTTCTTGTAAGAGCTGCATACGATCAAACATACTGAATGTACCACCTAAAGGGTAGCCAAATGTACAACTTATTATCAGCCACAGCATACAGTGGTGTGTTGTCTGGAATAACACTGTCGGCTGGATTTGCTAAACTTGTAGCTGGATTCAACCATCTCATCTCGATAATCGAAAAATAAATGGTGTCAGCTTTGGGAAATGTTTATTTGTAAAGGTTTGTGTACATCCTCTCAATGACCTTATAGTTATTTTCTTGGAAATTGAAGCATCCACTCACCAGTGTGATACTTCTGAATCTAAATTAAGTGGATGATCTTGCACAGGAGGACTGGAAAGTAAGACTTCAATTAATCATTGTGTTCATTGTCAATTAATTATTTGGCCTGTAACATGTCAGAAAACATTGAAAAATGTACAATTTCCCCGAGTCCAAAGTGATGTCTTCAAATTACTTGTTTTGTCCAACCAGCTCTTCTCAAACCTAAAGATATTCACATGATACAAAAAAGTATAGAATCCACTGACAAGCTGGAAGATGGAAATGTTTACAAATTAAGGCATTTTTGTGACATGATAAATTATCAAAGTGGTTGGTAAAATAAAATATTGTATTTCTGTCTCCGTACACATATATATGTTGTGTTTGTAGACTCACTGCCATTTTGTACATGATATTATAAGATGTAAATGTAGGATTACGTTTCTTATCCTTGTTGTGTCATCAATGCCACGTGTGAAAGCCAACCAAAACATGGCTTGTGCTGCTTCACTTGCTGTCTGCTCTCCAAGGTTAGTCTATCAGCAGTCTATGTACATTCTGTACTGTGTGTCTGTCTGCCATGGGGGATGGACAGTGCTGAGTCAGTCCGGCTAAGTTTATAAAGCATGAGTGGGCCTGAAAGTAGAGAGAAAAGGACAAGACGCTGCATCCCTCCCCCCCACTCCATTTTATTTTATAGCCAACACACCATTGATGACGTATGCTCTGTGCTAACGTTACTGTGAGCGTGGCTTCAGTGTCATTTCAGTCCAGTAATCCTCGACCCAAATTAGTCTCTTAAACAACCTGGAGAGAGGCCAAGCTTGCAAAGGTGATAAGTCAAGAGCAGTTGATACGTGCTGCAGATAAGAGGGTTGATAATACTGAGAAACACATCTCTTCTACTGTCAAAGGTAGCTCAACTTCTGTTTAAATCACATCTGTAATCTGCTCTTTTTAGGTCAGTGAGAATGAGACAGAAAGGTGAGATGTCCGGAGACAAATCTCTGTGCTTCAAATTTCTCGTCAGTCAGACTTTGGTAGTGATGTGGGATGGAAGGGGAGGCATTATTTGTTTGAATGGCTTCTTAATTCCTGTCACCTCTGCACAGCTAGAGATATTTCATCTGTAATTGGTCTCTAATACACATGATTGCTCTGCGGTGATAAACGGCTAATAGGGTTAAAGCTAATCTGTTGCTAATGTATGGTATTGATGACTTACTGTGACCTAACCCAGTTACTATGCTCCAGTTATAGACGTGTGATTTCCACTCTATAGAGATCAATAGGCCATGATGATGATTTCAACTCTGTCTGGTGATCTCAGCTGTTTTTGCTGGGGCGGATGCACAAGTTGTTATGGGTTCTCTGTTTGGCTGTGCATTCTAACAAGGGTACTAACATCTATTTGTTTCTTTCTTTTTCTCTCCCTTATCCAATCACCTTTCTTCTCGTCTCACGTGTTCTGCTTTCCTTTATCCCGTGCGTCATTTCTTCTTTCCTCCTCCATCTAATTTTCAACACTGCCTCGCTCTTATTTGTTTTCTATTTCTGTCCTTCACCTCTGGCACCTTATCTCTCTCTTTGACTTTCATGTCCCCACCCACTTTCTTCTGCCTTCTGCCACTCTCTCTCAGTGTGACCAAGACCAGTGCATTCAGAGCACCAAATTCGTTTTGCAGGCCGCCGCCACACCTCTCCTCCAGCAGCAGAGTAGCGAGCCAGTCATCCTGACGGCCACCTCTGAAGACGGAGGCTCTCTACCCGGCCGCACCTCCCTCGCCCTGGGCGGCCCGTGCACCTCACTCCCCCTCGGCCAGCCCACGCCTCCGACGTCCACCCCCAGCCTCAGCTGCCACGAGGCCAACGACATGCTGCCAATGCACGGACACAGCCACACACACAACCACAGCCACCCCCTCCAGGAGCCGGTGGGCCACCACCACTTTCTTACCCCAGAGGAAGTGCCCTCGCCACCAGGTATGCTTCCTTGCGGCAGCCCCCTGGGTCACAGCCACACCATGCAGGCCGGCTTCTACAACCCAGCCAGCCAGGACTCACTACATGAGGACTCTGTGAGAGGATTGGTAAAGCTCAGCTCCGTCTGACAAAGGGATGTATACCACCTCCTCCCTCCTGAAAACATGCATCCAGCCCATGAAACCCTCCTGTGCCACTTTTGTACCAACTCGCTCTCACCTTGAGTTTGTTTTCCTCTCTCACCTCAGCAGGACTTGAGAACTGAAAAGGGCTGTGGTTTAAATTCAGCTGCTAGAAACTGAATGGAATTTATATGAACTGAACTGAAACCAGTTGTCCTCAGCCAATGTCTTGCCAAAACGTCTGCGCTGCTGGAACTGGGAGAGGAGATGTTTTCTGGTGTGATGCCCTGTATGACAGCTCGGACATCTGTATTTGTTTTTTTTATATATTTTTTTTGTTTAACTTCAAGGGAAGCATAATCCATTAGCCCGCGGATACTGGAAAGGGGAGGGTTTTTTTTCTGTGTGGCGTAGGTCTGAACCATGTCAAGCGTTTTGACATTACATGACATTTTTTGGTCAAAATGATGAATTTCCATCAATGGATTACAGGTCTGACAGGTTTTTCTTTTGTAAAACAAACATTAGCCTATTTGCCTGTTGCTGATTGGACGGTGTCTTTTGCCTTTTTGTTTTTGTTCTTGGACATTCTCAGCAGTGCAATGGTTGAAGTCATGTTGCATATCATCCTGCTTTTTCTATGTTTAAAAAAAAATAAGAGACTGTTGTACTGTACCATGGTTATTACAAATCTTACAAATTATTATATTTCCCGTGGATATTAATAAAACGCCAACTTTTTATCAGATGTGATTGCATTAATATTGAGGCTTAGTAGCCATAATATTTGCTAATGTGAGAGTCATGTGATCATTACATTTCCTTTTAAGTGAATCTTGTGATGCCTCACGCCTGTGGTCATTTGGCTGATTAAAAACAAGCCTGTCTGATGAATGTTGCTAAACATTTATGGACGTTCAAACAAGGTTAAGACTCTCTTTAGGTCCTTCGGTCTTCTATTCATCCTGACAGAAGTCCTGGGAAGCCTCAAGCACCAACCTTTGAAGCGTACAGACTTAAACAAGGACTCCATTTCCAGTTACATTTAACTTCATTTACATGAAGTGATTTGTGTGTGCCTTTTTTTTAAATAGATAATAGATAATATAGATAGTTCACTGACTGGCAAGTAAAAGGCAGTGGACAACATTTCAACATTTAATTCTCTTCTACCACCTTGTGGTAAAGCAGAGGTACTGCAGTTGAAAGTGGCATTTTTCTTAGATTTTAACTAATAAAATGATTAGACACAGTCAGTCATTAGACACTAGTAAAGGACTTGCAGATGTCTTCCTCAGCTCTACAGAGCATTTTTAGCACTTCCAGCCCATAAATTCACTGTTTGTTTCATTCTGTCAACTAACTTGGCCTTGTTTCAAGACGCAGCAGACTGGTTTTCAGTCAAAAAAACCCAACATTTTTGTGCTACTTTGGCTGCACCGAATGGTTGTAAGACAAGGTTAGCGATTATCTACCTCCTGTAGCTATAGTTAGCTGGAGCAGAAAGAGGAATATTTAGCTGAAGACCCCGTGATGTTGTGTTTGCAGCCTGTTGCACTGCCCCCTACTGACATTATAAACAGTGGATACAAATGATAATAACACATTTATTTATTATTAAATCATTTGATACATAGGGAAGAGTTTTCGTACATATTTTACAACAGTTACAACAGACGGGGCGGGGGGGGCACATGACATTGGAAAATAAATGTCCCAGATGTTTTTTTACTTTTCATTTTGGAGCAGGATTCATAACTGCAGCACAGAGTGGGAGAGCGATGAGGCAAGACATGGTCACAGATGCAGGACTACTATATTCTATAGCTTGCATAAATATTGCAAAATGTCATTTGTTAGGGTATTGAAATAGTTTAAAAGGACCCTGTACTGCACTGTGCTTGAGTTCTGCTGCACCATTACATGTTAAATTGACTTAAATGTCAAAAGAGGATGGGACGCTATCATGTGTTAAAGAATCCTGAGGATTACGACCTTTAATAGCAGACTAAACTTAAATGTGGGTATACCGTAAGTTGGCACGTCCTATTTAATTAACATTTTATGTAAAAATAAACTGTAGATGAAAATGATTTTGACCATACATCAAAAATGTTCAAAAAGAAAAAGTAACCACTACTAATTATTTAGTAATGATGACAAATGTTTCCAATCATTTTATATTAGCTGTACAATAAATTAGTCTTTATTGGGCCTTGCTCCAAAAGAATGGCATCCTTTAGTTTCATTCATTGTTTGCATTTGCTGACTGTCTTGGCTTTTAAACAAAGCCAGTAAGTACTTGAGTGCTTAATAACATTTACACATATTTCCTGTTTTAATTATACAGTGCACTAATGGCATATCACAGCAGAGATGCACTAGAGAAAGTACAAGAAATGAACCAAGGCAAACCTAACTTGTAGCTGTAAACAGTCATGGTGGCTCACAGCCTGATGCTCCAGCACAGCTAACTCATGCATCAGTCGTCTAGCCGGGGCTGGAAACATGGACCATTAATGCTCCATGGCAGGACCAGCCCATGCTACTTGGTCATCAAAAATGCTATACTAGCTTAAAATCAGACTTCTGGTTGCTGCAAGACTAACCTAACCTGAAATCAGCACAGGTTTTGCCATTTCCAGCATCCATTGTCTGGGTCTTTGTGGCTAAGCTAGTTTAGCATCAAAAACCAGAACACAACAGTGTCTTTAACGCTGGCTTCTATGTTAAGTCTAGAGTCCCGAGTCACCACAGTTTCACATCAGTGAGCTCCAGGTCCCCCATGATCTCCAACTGGTCAATGCTGCTCAGGTCCTGCACCCGATGTCTGAACTCAAACAGGTGTGAGCCATTCACTGCCAGCTTGAACTGGTGGGGCTGACAGAGGATGAGAATCTGACAACAAAAAAAACCCCACTGAGGATAGGTCAATTATTTCTAAGCACATAGACATAGAGACATATAGTTAGATATTACAAATCTAAAGTGGTAAACACCCTACACAGATACAGCAGTGAATTTGTAGGTGGTTCCTACCTCAAAGTACTCCCCTGACGAGAAGGGAAAGAAGGGCAGCTCCCGCTCCTCCTGACCCCAGGACTCGCTCAGGTACGAGTTCCTGGTGAACATCCCCGACTTCATGCGAGGGTTCAGATGAAGAGCGATGTTCTCTGTCCTGCTGTTGCGGAGGTTCACTGTAAAACTGGAAGACACGTGGACTAGAAGGTAAATCTTTTTTTAATTTTTTTTATTAAGAAATGCCCAGAGGGAAATGTTAATTGACATTAGTAGTTCAAATCAGCGAGACATGCAGATTGCTCTTATTTGTTATATTGAGGTGAATTTCTTCTGGTACTTTACCTGTGAGGATACATGCTGACCTGTCCTTTGATTGTAATGTGCTGTCCAGGCATCAGTCCTTTGAGTATACTGCCTTTGTAAGGGAGGCTCTGGAATAAGAATATATTATAATTATAGATTAATCTGCTGATTATTTTCTCAGGAAATCATTTAGTCTAGAAAAACTATGAAAAATCCCCAATATAATTTCCCACAATCCAAGGTTACGTCTTCAAATACATTATTCCGATTACTGTCACAGGCCTACATCACAAAGAAAAGCAGTAACTCACATTTGAGAAACTGAGGCAAATGTTTGGCATTTTTGCTTAAATTTTTTTTCCGATCAACTAATCAATTAAAGTTAAAATCTATAAATTTTCCGTATTAAAATTTCTGAAAACAACTAGACCTATGTTATGTATTTTGTTGAGGTGTGTACTTACATAATACCAAATGTTTTCAACAATTTTCAAAACTATAGTAATCCCTAATTTCAGTCAAGGTAATGGTGCGTTTCCTTTGGTCACCAACCAATGGCGCCATATTGCCTTTGCGCATGCATTACTGTTGTGGTGTTCTGCCAGAATCAGTCAGTTTTAAGCCAATTTTTTATAATAATACACTTTGTAGATCTTAGTTGTTACTACTGTATATTTTAACCAGATGAAGGATTTTACTCGTCGGATGTCTGGATCTTAAGTTATTTGAGATATAAGCTGAGTGAACGTTAGCAGTAGCTCAGCTCTCAGCATCCTGTTGTCCGCCGAACAGCTGATTTTTAACATTCAGTGTTTATACTGGTTTTTAATCTGCAGATGTGTTTGTTCTGGAATAGAGGAGACTGCTGTGGATTATTGGGTCGCTCTGAAAATCCAATTTATTACAACTTTGGCGTTATTTTCATAGTTCTGGTCATCTATCTGTAATAATAACATTACAGTTACCAAATTAATTGTTTAGATTAGATTAGAAGTCACAATCAAGTACCAAATAAAGTGGTTTAGATCATCTAAGCTGTTGGCTTGTTTACATCTGTCTGGTTGCCTGAAGGCTCAAGTTGTAATAAACCAGATTTGTCCTTTAAAAGTCTGAGGGGCACATGCTAAATTAAACAGTCTGCAGTGCACAAACAGAGGAATCATTGAGGACATGTGCTCCAGTTTTAGTGGCGTCACAAGATGCTGGGCACATATAGGCACAGAGGTTTTGTGTAGATGACGCAAAAAGAACAAACTCACCAAGTCACCTGATTCTGAATATATTGCCTAGAGAGAGAAAAGGCAAAATTTAGAGATTATTAATCAGATATGTCTATAAAACAAACACACATGTGATCAGCTTGTGAGGACAAAATAAAGCAAACAAGGGATGGGAAATCTACTTACTGAGTTTGGGATGTAGCCAATAGCGTGCACCTTGACTTTGCCAGATATAGAAAATGTGTCAACCCTGTTTAGTGGGATTTTGTGCTTGTATTCCAGCAGGTGAGCACCATTTACTGCCACCTATGGGTGAAGACAAGTCTTTCAGTATCCTATTTTTCTATTACTTACATTGCTGTGCGCATTTGTTGTTTTTAAGTACTACACAGGCTTATCCTTCATTCTCAACAGCAGGGGTTCACTGACCTTGAAGACGTCTTCGTGCACCAGGATGATGGTCTCGAAGGGGGCTCCGCGTTTGTAGGGCAGCTGATGGAGCGTTTCCTCTTTGCCCCAGCTCTCCTGCAGCAGGGAGTTACATACCACACAGGGCGACCCTTCGAAGCGAGGGCTGAAGTGGAGGGCGACGTCAGAGCGTGGCTTGGTGCTGCAGCCGCTCGACAGGTCCATCTGAAACCTGCAGAGAGGGTTTATGATTATTTTACTTTATGTTCACATGGCGCATAATTTCAAATAAGGTTGTGTTTAATCAACCACAACTGACATAACAGGGTGTGACAAACCACAGAGATTAGTAGCTGAGGAGTCAAAAGTGTGGTGCGGTGCCACTGGATGGTCAGCCAGAGGACAACAAGTATTTATAACGCTTAAGTTTCTTTGAGCAACACACTGCGCTGTGGCCAAATCTGACCTCTGACCTCCAGGCGGAGGAGGCACAACTCAAGTCATAGCTGAGCTAAAACAAATCCAAGCTGATCTTGTAGGTGATGTCATTATAAATGGATCTAAAAGCTGTGAGGGGAAATATGCTGGACAAAACAGATTTTACTCCACTGTGCCCACAGAACTAGACTAGTTGTTCCCAAACGGATTTGTCCATTACAATGTTTCATTGTCCATCAACACCTTAAAAAAAGCCAACCTTTACATGAAATACAAAAAATATACATTACCCAATATAACCAACAGCATATTTTACTTATGTGCAAAATTACACAAACAAAATCTAGTTCAATTAAGTCAGCAAAAGGGTTTTTTCAGGGTGATTAAGAATAAGCTTATACATTTTAGTTAATGATAAAGTTACATCCATTTTATTTGGATTTGAATTTTGGGAGATGAACAGAAATCCATGTGGTCATTTTAGCTGAGAAGGCTGCCAGTGTCTGTGTGTTGTATAGGTGGGTGAGTGCTATAGTTTGAAACATTTTTGGGACCCACAGTGAACGGTAAACGGTCTGTATTTGTATTGCGCCTTTTACGTCTTTCCGACCTCTCAAAGCACTTTCACACCACATCACATTCACACACTGATGAGCAGAGGCTATGGTACCAACTGCTCACCTGAAACAGAAACTCGTTCATACATTACATTTCATACATTGGGGTTCAGTGTCTTGCCCAAGGACACTTCAACATGCAGGGATCGAACCACCGACCTTCCAATAAGTGGATGGCCACTCTACCCCCTGAGCCACAGCTGCCCTTACTGAACTACACACAGGGTTTGAAGTTTTGCAGATAAAAGTATCACAGGCTCTGGGGTTTACTAATCAAATCTTACACATATCCTTAAGGGTGGCACCTCCTCAGTATACCTCTCTAATTTAATTACATCTTACCTGTCAGCATCTGGGGGCACGGTGCCCTGGACGATGATGATCTCCCCAGGGTGCAGACCTCCAGGTATGGGCCCTGTGTATGGGATCACCTGAGGTGGAGAGCTGACGTTAAAGCACCGGAAACCTGCACTGACTGCAGCTGAAGACATGAAATGAGGGAGCTAACATGAAACGCCTCTGTGTGTCATATATTAGCAGGAACAAACACAACACAGCGACTTGCACACAGTAACAAGCTGTATTAATAAGCTACATGAGGGTCTATTGATCATCGCATGATGGCATCAGAGGGATGTGGATAATGATAATAAGCCTCTTACCGGATTCAGGACAGTGTGTTTCGCATTTGCCACAGACATCAGGCTTCTCGTGTCAGACATGCAACATGCAGCTGTGCTGAAAGACAACGGAGTCTGTGGTGTCTGCGGTAAATATGACCGGTTTTGCAGCTCTCCTGCACTACACAGAGATGATGGCAGTTGGCATCTTCTCTCCATCAGCCCTTAACACCACGCGGCTGCGCAAAGGCTACCACGTGATCGGGTCAGCTGGACGCTGAACAACAACAGAGGTGCAATGTCACTTATTTTATACTGTTAAGCTTTTTTTTAATGTCATAAGCTACAGTTAAGAGAAAAGCTGTTTAAAAAAAATCCATAGCTAGTTAGTTGAGTTTCAACTTCCTGTTCTTGATCCCCGTCGCCCTCTTCTGTTCAGCAGGAATAAAGCCTCCTGGAGTGTCATTTCCCAAGAAACCAAAGCTGGTCAGACTAGAAGAAATGGGTCCTGGTCGGTATCGCAGACGCTAGTGATTATTTTCTTTTCTCATAACGTATAGCCTGTGCTTTCCTTATATAATTTTAACAATGCCAAGATACCATAGCTACTGTCTTTGATGAAACCAGATGAAACGTTAACCTCTGTTTTCTATCCTTTTTCTCAGGAAAAGCTGCCGCCATTGGAGCAGGAGTAGGTAAGAGTCTTCATGGATCACCTGTGTTGATTTGTTAGACTGACTTTAACGCTCTTGTCTCTGTGCAGTCGGCGTAGTTGCGGTGGCGGCGGCTCCTGTTGCCTTGGCCGGTGTAGGTTTCACCTCGGCTGGAATAGCAGCAGGCTCCTACGCTGCCGGCATGATGTCTGCTGCTGCAGTCGCAAACGGAGGAGCGGTGGCGGCGGGAAGCACCGTGGCTGTTCTGCAGGCAGCAGGTAAACAGCATTAACCTACTTGATTTTTTTTATGGTGATTGTTTTTAATAGTGAGATGATCAATACCGGAACTGTAATCAAAGGGGTATCATGGACAAACCAGGAACTGAAACAACAATAATGTCACAATAGAGACAAGGTAATTTTCTGTTCCAACACTTCCTGATCTCTATCGGGGGTTATTAAAGTAGGGCCTACATAGATGCACTTAAATAATCCTCCTGTATCATTATTTTTTTGTAGGCCTACATGTGTACTAGTATTTGGGCCAGAATGAACATCTGTTAGATTGTTTTGTGTAATGTATAGGTCTACTCCTTTTCTTAGGAAAAAGGAGCTTCCACTGTGGCCCAAGGATTTTCTCTGTTTCTTTGGGTCAGACGCTCTGGGCTATGAGCTCTCTGTCCCATGTGAAAAAATGTTCTCACTTTACTAAATATCACAGTGTAACTTATTTGTTTATGTGGATAAATAGTGCAGTATTCAACAAAACACAGCACAGTACAATTTAATAATACTATATACTGTGATGACAATAGTACTACTGTGTTGGCCTGTTGGTTTGAGAGCAAGGCTTTCTCAGCTTCTCTGTGACTGGATACCTTGAATAAAAACCTGTGTAATCTTGCTGTAGGTGCAGCTGGTCTGTCAGGAGCTGCCACTGCAGCTGTGGCCAGTGTTGGCGCAGCAGCTGGCGCAGCAGCTGGAGCAGCAGCGGGATGGGTGGCCAGCTTCTTCACCAAAAAATCAAACAATAAATGATTTTGAAATATATATTTATTGAATGTATTCATGCATTAAATCTCTAAAAACATACCGTGTCATCTGTAATTATCTCCATTCCTCATAACTTCTACCTGAAAGCACTGAGTGAGAAAATAAATGAAAGTGTTCACTGGTTCACTAAGTTGTTTTTTTTTTTTTGGTTTTGTTCTTTTTGTGACCACAGTAAAGTTGTGGGCTGTAAAACCAAAACACTGATGAATAATCCAATGAATCTCATACAGCAGAGGGGAACTGCATAGTTAGGAAATTTTCAGCTGTGGATTCATAAGAGCAGCACCTTTTACTTTACATTCATTTGATCGATTTGTTGGAATATGGATTAGTGCCTCTAACACCATACTTGCTATCAGCCCATACCACTGGATCTGTTGTTTCCTGTGGTGAAGGAGACAGTGGGTTAAGGCCCTTGGCCCTCAGCACTGGTGCCTATCAGGGCTGTGTCATATCCCACTGGCTCTTTTCCTTATACACCAACAGTTTCATAGCCCAGCATAGTTCAGTAACCATCCTGCAGTATGCTGATGTTACAAGCACAATAGGCCTCATACCCCAAAACAAGGAGTTCTGTTATGTTCATCACAGACTCATTTACAGTTCTTGTCATACAATTGAATATTTCTCAGACTGCATAAACAAAAACAGCCCAGCAGAGGCGGTTCTTCCTCAAAACCACTGAATCCTCCTGCAGTGTTATACAGCCATCATTGAAAGTGTCCTCAGTACATCTACAACAGTTTGGTACAGCAGCATAGACGCTCACACTCCCATTGTCAACAGATGCTCCAAAACCACAGGCTCTCCGCTCCCATCAGTTGAATCACTGTACAACAAATTCAGAATCAAATGGGCAAGTACAATATGTAACCCATCTCATCCTGCTCTCTGCCTGTTTCAGCCTCTGCCCTCTGGGAGGCACTACAGGTCCTTTTCCACCAAAACAATTTTTTTTCTGCACCAAAGGACTAAATTTTGTCTGTGGCATTGTGATACATTCTGCTCTTCATTATCTAGGAATATTGTGATTATTATTTATTGTGTATTTAGTTACATCTTCCTTTGTGTTGTGCTGCTGACGCTGCGTACTGAGTTTTTTTCCCCATGTTGTACTGAAAACAAATTCCAGGTGGCTATTAATGTAAAGTGAGGTGAAATGTCATCCTCATGGTTGCGTCAGAGGAAAAGCCAGGAGGTCAACCAGAGTGAGTAGGTTTCATCATGTCAGTATGGTCTGTTTCTGTTTTTGTGAATACAGGCTTAATATAAATGCAGTTATTGACAATAATCCACTGCATCTGTGTCTATTATGACACTCATCATTGGATATATTCACCTGTTTCTGAAAACTTGAACAGCAAAGGATTCAGATGTTGCCCGTCTGAAAGAAAATGAGTTTTTAATTTCACCCAGTCTAATCATGAAGGGACTTTCAACTGAGGAGGGACTTCACTGATAAGAGTCTAGTATTGCATCAAGATTTAATTGAGTTTTCACCTTTTACTGCAATCAACTGTCAGTGTACATGAACATAAATGGTGAAGACATTATATCCTCAAAGTTGCTGCAGGTCCTGCATGCTAGAACAACACTTGTATGATCTCTTAAATATACAAACTTAATTTTGTACTTTAGTAATTACGTTGATCTTGATCGGAGCCACCAAAACCTACAGGGTCAAAAGTTTTTTTCAGTGACTTAAAGATGAAAGTCTGTCCTGAAGGCAGGTTTGAAGGAGCAGTCAGAACTAAACTATTTCAACAACTCTTTAGTTGTTTCTGTTTGTCATCTGATGCTCCAGTTACAGTCATGACTTACCACCTTAGAAATGTTTACTTGAGTTCATTTGGGTTAAATTGACGCAGGGACTCGGTGACGCCCTCACAGAGCGCGTGTTCAGATATGAACATAGTTTAATTTGTCAAGAAACGAAACCTAACACTCAGTATATAAAACTGTCCACTTCAATGGTCATCACAGAGAAAGACCACCATGGACCGTGGTGAGTTGAAATTTTTCCTTTGATGATACTGATACATTTTCCAAATGTATGTGTCTTTATAAAAATGTAATAATGATTTTAAGTGACCATAGAAAATGACTTTGATTTGGTTTCAGTCACTGCAATCGCTGTTGGAGCAGGAGCAGGTAAGTCTTTGAAAAACCTTTATGGATCACTTGTGTTTACTTTTCCAACTTATTTTAATACACACTAATCTACAAAAGTCATGTAGATGTTAGACTAAACCCGATTTTAGGCTATCGTGTGCAATCCAGTGGCCAAACAAATTAACACACTGTCATTAGCAACAACGTTTTTTCTGTTGTCTTCTTGTCCCTGTGCAGTAGGAGCTGTGGTCGCAGCTCCTGTTGCTCTTGGGGTTGCAGGTTTCACCTCGGCTGGAATAGCAGCAGGTTCCATAGCTGCTAAAATGATGTCAGCTGCCGCAGTTGCTAACGGAGGAGGAGTGGCTGCAGGCAGTTTAGTGGCTACTTTGCAGGCAGCAGGTAAACACCATAACCTTTTTTTTTATGAATGTTAATCTAGTAGTTTTAACTTTTCTTACCAAAAAAATCTTAATTTAAGTGTATCAAAAATACTTGTAATGCTTTTCCAAGGTACCATGAAATCACTTGGCAAACCCTCTGTCGGTCTATTGGATTTATCCCTTCACCAGAACACTGACTCAGCTGATTAGGTGGACAATGTTTGAAAACTACAGCGTTTCTCTGATAAATCTGACATATATTAACAGAGCAAATATTAACATGTGAACACCCAGATGAAGGTTAGCTTTAAAGTTGCCAACAGTTTAATGTTTAACTAACAGTTCTCTAATGAGTCATAATTGTTTGGTAATGTAGGGCCTTCTTTGCGTCATCTGATCTACAACAATCCAGTGGGGGATGGGTTGACAACCTGCTGTTTAACTGCGTTGTAGCACAAAGTTGTTAATGACAGTAAGGCACATATGTGTGCATTGAACAAGTTACACCATCACATGGCATTGTAAAAGTAGCCTAATGTTGTAACAACTATGAAAATGCTTTATTATAATTTTTTTTCGTGCACAACCGACAGAAACTTAAGAAGTGCTGAAAGTATCAGGAAACATTTACAATGACCGTGAGGGAGGTCCTAAGGCATTTATTAGTTTCTGACTCTGATGGGGGAAAAACAGTTTCCAAAAAACTACTGTATCTCTGAAGACTCACCCATGTAGGCTATGTGATCTCCTTTTGATAACTAATGCAATAAGTAATGTAATATTGTTTCACTTCCATTCACTGAGCCTCCCCTGAAGCAGTTTGGAGCCCCCCACCTCACACTTTGAAAACCCCTGAGCTAGAACATTATGTAAATCGGTAAATATTTTAGCCTAGGGTACTAAAACAAACACCAAAAGTTAACATGAACTGTTAAGAATTATTTTATGCTAAAAATCGATGGAAAGCTGGCAACCCGTTTCTCACCTTGACCTTCTTCTTCAGCTCTGGATCAATTTTCTGTTCTGATCTCAACAAGTCTGGGTAAATCGCTGAACCAATTAGAAGCAGCATTTTTATGATTTAAGTATTTTACAATATTTTTAAACTACAAAGTACAAACACTAAAGTAATTTGATACAAAATATAAAGCTATTTCATATCAACCCTCAAATACAAATTATAAAATCCTATTTGTATTTGAAACACGTATTTTAAATACATGTATCGTAAATACTGTCTATCCCTATACCTAGAACTGTCAAATCTGAACTAAACTGCCACAGTTTGTCAAGATTTTGTAAAACACTGTTTCAGATTTGTGAAAATCTATTTTTCTTCTTTCTTTCTTTCTTGTTTTTCTCTTAAGTTAGTTAAGTTCCTGCAGCAAAAACTGCCAGACCAAAACTCACCAAAAGTGGCAGTTGGGTTGTAAATTCCACCCACTACTCAGGCGCATAGAAATTCACTCATTGACCATGTGATTGTTTTATTTACAGTGGTCTGCAGTACACAACAAACAAACAGACTTAAGAAAATAACTCATTAAACTTATAGCACCACTAACAAAAGGCACATGTTAACAACCACACAGCCTCACCTCTTTCCCCCCTTGGGAGCACAAATCCCTCCATTTATATAGGCTGTTCAATTCACACCCAAACTGCTTCAGCCCATCCCTTTCTGATGCAGGTTGATCTACTCCATAACATTACTACCTAAACTCTCTTAACTTTGGAATTCAGTTACTAGTTCACTCCGCTCCAACTGACTAGAAAACAGGTCAGGGATATTTACACATTTATTTATAATAACCAAAAACAACCAAAAAAAACATTCCTTTAAAGGAAGAAACCCTCTACTTGGTTTGCCCGTGATGTCATCCATGACCACCCTATTCCTATAAAAAGGAAATGCTTAGGCCGGCCCCTCCCCAACAACTGTCCTGCATGGTCGAACTGAACAAAGGAACAACATTGTAAGTATTACACAGGAAAAAAATGAAACCAGGTTTAAACTTGCAACCTAATAAATGGAGCTGAAACTAACTTATGACTGTGTGTTTACTTTAACTTATCATATGCTTTGCTGTAGACTGTAACATAATGCAAACACAAACAACCCGGGATAGTAAGTGGTGCACTTTAAACAAGCTATGGTAAATTACAAAAAAAAACACTTGTATAAACTAGAAGGTGTACTATAGATAATAACCTGTATGGGACAAGTGGTGCGCAAACCCACTTTGGCACACAATTATTTGCTTAATCCCTCACCAGGAATATAATTTCCATGACATCATTTTAATCTCTGAATTCTTCTGCACTAAAATGACAAATTGTACTTCTTTTTCTAACTTTTCTCCAAAACCTATTTTTGCAAACTTGACAAACACCGTTTAGCCAGTCGTTCAGAACTTTGCAAGGATTACCTACGGACTGATCTAAAGTTATCAAAAGAATATTGATATGTCAATCAGTTTACTTTTACAAAATAATCATTACTTTTGTTTCTTAACATACAATTTTACATAAATTCTCGCAAATCAAAATTGGATGAGGAGCTTGTTTGGATGCTCAGTCCGAGCTTCGCTGAGCAGTCCTGGGATCTTCTGCCACTAGGGTGTGCCACAAATGCGAAAAGCGCATTTTTAGCCCGATTTGCTGCTCGGAGAATTCAGCGACCATCAGGCTGTGATCGGAGTAATCTGCAGCCGCCAGACTAGGCTACTCAACAATGCACCAAAACGGCTCCCCGACACATTTCTGACATCACTGACGATTGCAAGATATCTCTCATGCCAAATATCTGGAGGAGTCAGCTGACTCGACATCCACATCCAGCCGTGAGAGCTGGCAGAGCAGGCAGCTACTTTTTCACTGCAAAACACTTCTTACTCCCTTCCAGCTCTCTCTGTAGCTCAGACAATCCCTGCTACCTGCGTGTGCTAAAAGTGCAACAACAACATAAGAACCTACACAAATATCTCATAAATCTGGACTTGATTATTTTAAAAACAGTATAATCTTGCTGTAGGTGCAGCTGGTCTGTCAGGAACTGCCACTGCAGCTGTGGCCGGCGCTGGAGCAACAGTGGGATGGATGGCCAGCTTCATCCCCGGAAATCAAAGAATGTCTGTGAGAAACTGCCACTGGAGTATCAGCTGGAGCATCAGCTAGAGCAAGAGCTGCAGCATCAGCTAGAGCTGCAGCTGGAGCTGCAGTGGCAGAAGCACTGGGATTGCTGGCTAGCTTCATCAGATGAAAATCAGGAAAGAACACGTACGGGGTTGTGAGCACTCTTTTATATCATGTACCTGCTATTTATCTCGGTGGAAAAAGCAGAGAGAGATAGTTGTAGGGCTTATAGTGCTGTACAGTGCCAAAAACAGTGATGAAGGCAATGAAAAAAATTAAGTTGTCATAAATCGGGAGAAATTGAGAGAATTATGACCCCGAGAAGGCAATGAAAAACAGGAGGGCTGGCAAGTATGCTTTGTGCAATAAATTTAAAACCTGTCAAAGATACTGGGTCAGTGTGTCATCTGTAAATATTTCTATTCCTCATAATGTCCACCTGAAAGGACTGAGAGAGTAAATTAATGAAAATATTCATTAACTTTTAATCTGACCACAGTAATAACACAGTAACACTGGCATGTATTCTGATGTAAACTGATAATATTGATTTACTAACAAAGGCCACGCCTGCAAAGAGGTAGATTAGACACAACTTCTGCTGTTTTTTCCTTATCTAATGAAATGTATGAAATTAATTGTCCTTATGTACTTTATGTATAGCTTTGGCAATATTGTTGCTATACATTCATACCAATAAAGCTAATTTGAATTTGATTTTATTGCATTTATTATTGCATGTTATGGAGGTGAGCTGAGATGCTGTGAAAGTGATGGATTAGGGATCCAGAAGGATCTTTCGTCAGGGCAAGGGAGAATTCTTTCATGTTACAAAAATCATTACAGACAAAACTGAAGTGTGATGAGAGAATCAACAATCAGTTTCAGTCCTTCTCTGATTGCACATTTCATTCAGCACTTGTTTTGACTCCTCACTGGAATGTCAATCATCACATGGGCCTGTCACTTAGTGTCAGTAAATGCTTTGGTGTCACTACAGCATTTCTACTATGAAACAATAACTTTAAAATTGTGGTTTGTCCAGACTTTTGAATGGGTTGGGCCCATGCACACACACACACTCTCTAGCTTTGTGTTTTTACAGGAAACACTGTTAACGTTGACACGTCTCTCATCTCAGGTTTGTTCCCACAGGACCTGAAAACTTGCAGTCATTAAGCCACTCTTAAAAAAGAGCAATCTAGACACGTCATTATGAGCAATTACAGGCCCATATCAAATCTGCCGTATTTAAGTAAAATCATTGAAAAAGCTGTTTTTCAACAGCTTAGTGCTTTCTTGGCACTAAATAACTGTTTTGATGTCTTCCAAACAGGATTTTGACCACACCACAGCACTGAGACAGCTCTTGTTAAGGTCTTCAATGACATCCATTTGAACACTGACAGTGGCAGAATTTCAGTCTTAGATTTACGTAACCATATCACCAGGAGATGTATGATATGTATTGAACAAATTAACAATTGGATGTGCCAGAATTTTCTTCAATTAAACAAAGATAAAACTGAAGTTATTGTTTTTGGAGCCAAGGATGAACGATTAAAAGTCAGTGCTGAGCTTCAATCGGTAAACCACAAACCAAGCCAGAAATCTTGGTGTGGTCATGGACTCAGACCTGAATTTAAGCAGCCACATTAAGACAATTACAAAGTCAGCCTACTATCACCTGAAGAATATTTCAAGAATTAAAGGCCTTATGTTTCAGCAGGACCTGGAAAAGCTTATCCATGCATTTATCTTCAGTCGTCTCAACTACTGTAACGGTATCTTTACAGGGCTCCCTAAAAAATCCATCCGACAGCTGCAGCTGATTCAGAACATCCTCACTAAGACCAAAAAAGTGGATCACCTCACTCCAGTTCTGAGGTCTTTACACTGGCTTCCTGTCTTTTAGAGAATCAATTTTAAAATCCTGCTGTTAGTTTATAAAGCACTGAATGGTTTAGGGCCAAAATACATTTCTGACCTTCTGCTTCGTTATGAACCATCCAGACCTCTTAGGTCATCTGGGACAGGTCTGCTTTCTGTCCCCAGAGTCAAAACTAAACGAGGAGAAGCAGCGTTTAGTTTTTATGCTCCATGTATCTGGAACAAACTCACAGAAAACTGCAGGTCTGCTGAAACTCTCAGTTCTTTTAAATCAAGACTGAAGACTTTTCTTTTTACCACTGCCTTTAACTAGTAGATTGATAACTTACACTGCACTGTAACATTTACTGTCCTGTTTTCTGTTTTCCTTGTTTTAAGATTTTCCATCAACACTATTTAAAAAGCTTAGAGTGCTCTTTGATTCTACCATCTCACACGTCTGATCCTCAGTTAATAGGGCCAAGTAGAATTACAAGGATTAGAGTCCCTGTTTTGACAGGGCCCGCTGTCAGCCGCTTTTACCAGAGTTTGTAGCATGGATGATCTGGATTTACAGTAATGACTGTATCTAAGTGTCCCTGTGTATCCCAAAGTGTTAAAGGGTTAGAGTCCCCTTAGGGTTAGAGCCCCTAAGTGTTAAAGGGTTAGAGTCCCCTTAGACTCCCCTTAGAGTCCCTAAGTAACTTGCTGAGCAGGGTCCCGCTGTCAACCGCTTTTACCAGAGTTTGTAGCGTGGACAATCTGGATTTACAGTGATGACTGTATCTAAGGAATAAGGGTTAGAGTCCCCTTAGGGTTTGAGTCCCTAAGTGTAAAAAAAAGGGGGCGATAGAGTGGGGGATGGGGAATCAAAGGAGTAAAATAAGCAAAGATGAGAGACCTGCCTGTTTTTATTTTCTATTTAACTTTTTTTTTTTTTACTTTTTAAAACTTTTTATATTTCCCTGTTGCTTTTATGTTTTATGAAAGCACTTTGAATTACCTTGTTGTTGAAATGTGCTATACAAATAAACTTGCCTTGCCTTATAGTAATCCCTATTAGTAACCCCCGATTTCACAAAATACCTGTAAAATAAGACATAGTCAGATTGATCATCTGATGTTCCAGTTATAGTCCTGACTTACCACCTCAGAAATGTTTACTAGAGTTCATTTGGTTTCAGTGAGGAGGAGGGCTCTGAGACGCCCTATAATTTCTGAAGAAACCAAACTTAGGCTGTATAAACCAGCGCAGTTCAGTACGGAGAAGGATAGCATGGACCCTAGTGAGTTTTCACTTTTCCTTTCAGATATAGTTTGTTTAAATTAGACTAGGCCTACTTGTACCTTTTCCTTGTATGTTTTCTTTATAAAAATGTAAAAATGATAGTAACCATAGCAAATGTAATGTATAGCTATAAATATTGTTTTCTGTTTTCATCTTGTTTCAGTTACGGCACTCCTCGTTGGAGCAGGAGCAGGTGAGGAAAAGTTTAATGGATCACCTGTGTTTACGAATGATTAACACACACACAAATGTTAAACTAAACATAATGTTAGGCTGTCATGTGCGATCCAGTGGCCTAACAAAGAACACACTTACCAACAGCGTTTCCTCTGCTGTGTTCTTGTCCCTGTGCAGCAGGTGCGGTGGTCGCAGCTCCTCTTGTTCTGGCCGGTGTAGGTTTCACCTCGGCTGGAATAGCAGCAGGCTCCTACGCTGCCGGCATGATGTCTGCTGCTGCAGCTGCTAACGGAGGGCGGTGGCTGCAGGCGGTTTAGTGGCTACTTTGCAGGCAGCAGGTAGACATAAACACCATTACTTATTTTTCAAGTTTATTTTAAACTTGTAGTATTATTTTCAATTTAACGTTCTGCTTTGAGAACACCATTAGGCCTACTTGATTTTTCCAGATGAATTTTACTCTTGTGATTTGTGTGTCTTACTATTGCAACATTGAAGTTAGCTTCCAATTCGCCAGTCAATGGGAATCCTTCGATCCTCCGTTTTGCACCTCTTTATGTTTGTGAAAGCCTGTTAGACATAGGCCAAGCCATAAAGCAGTCTGAAACCCACTTTCAGATTTGTAAAACCTTTATTGTATTTGTGAAATTGCAAAAAAAGGAGATTTTTCACAAGGTGAAGATCCAAAAACACTGTAGACCTGTCAAATCAAGTCATAAGTGGTCCCAGAGAGGCTAAAGAGGCTAAACAATTTTTTTGCGAATTGTGAAATCTGTATTCTAAAACAATGCAACCTACACAGGTGTCTCACAAACCTGGAATTGAAAGAAACAATAATATCAAGGAATAATAGCTTTGGGTTTACATTACATTGTTTAGGTATAATATAATGTCACTACTGTGTATAATAGTGCTAGTTTCATTTAACATTTCTCAGCTTCTCTGTAGCTCAATACCCTAGATGGAAAACTGTGTAATCTTGCTGTACTTAGGTGCTGCTGGTCTGTCAGGAACTGCCACTGCAGCTGTGGCCGGCGTTGGAGCAGCAGTTGGAGCAGCAGGCTCCTACGCTGCCAGCATGATGTCTGCTGCTGCAGGTGCAAATGCAGGAGCGGCGGCTGCAGGAGGTACGGTGGCTGCTTCTTAAAAATAATTTTAACCTTGTGGTTAAAAAGATTATCATTGCTTGAATGATAATCACATATGTGCCCTAACATGTCTTTCTAAAGTGCACAAGTGTCTTGCAAACCTAGAATTGATTTTAAAAAATACATGTGTAATCTTGCTGTAGGTGCAGCTGGTCTGTCAGGAGCTGCCACTGCAGCTGTGGCCGGCGCTGGAGTAACAGTTGGAGCAGCAGTGGGATGGATGGCTAGCTTCATCAGAAAATCACAGAATGTCAGTCAGGAACTAGCACAGGAGCAGCAGCAGCTAGAGTATCAGCAAGAGCAGCAGTCACAGCATCAACTGGAGCAGCAGTGGGAGCAGCAGTGGGAGGAGCAGTGGGAGGAGCTGCTGGAGGAGCAGCTGGAGCAGAAGCTAGAGCAGAAGCTGGAGCAGAAGCTGGAGCAGCAGTGAAAGGAGCAGTGGGGTCGCTGGCAAACTTTATCAGATGAAAATCATGAAGGAAAAAGATTAATTACAATTTTTTTTAAATTACAAAATATATTAATTGACTTACTAAAAAGCATAATTCATACTTCACAACCTTGAGACCTCCAAAATCGGCAGTGGGGGGTGGGGGTGCACTCTTCTGCGTCACGTGAATGCTAGTTTTCAAATTGGACACAGTAGAGAGAGAGAGCTGTAGTGCTTATAGGAGTTGGTCAGTGCAAAAAACAGTAATGAAGGCAATGAAAGACACAAAGTTGTGAACATTTGTCATAAATCAAGAGAATTGTGACCCCGGGAGAGGGCAATGAAAAACAGGAGTCTCCCATGAAAATCAGGAAGGTTGGCAAGTATGCTTTTTAATGAAATGTCAATAAATCTAAAACCTGTGAAAGATGCTGGGTCAGTGTGTCGTCTGTAATTATTTCCATTCCTCATAATGTTCACCTCAAAGGACTGAGAGAGTAAATGAATGAAAGTGTTTGTTATATCTGGCCACAGTAAAGTTGTGGACTGTAAAACAAAAACACTGAGATGTTTACTGTGTTAAAAGTTGGCTCCTGCTTGTAACAAAGAGAGGAAGCTCACGCAAACATAAGCTTAATGGTTTTATTGTACAACTAAACATAAACAAACTTCAAGGCAAACATGAAAATCAGTAT